GGTGTGTGCGAATTACTTGTTTATGTTGAAAATTAACTGAAAACTCAATGTTTTCAGTTAATTACTCTGAGTGAATACAATTAACTAATTGTTTCTGTATATTGACCGGTCATATTTTTGGTGCTCTTCAAACTGATATAAGTTTGATTATTCTAATCAAAAGATTAAGCAAAAAGTTGGGTGATTATGATGAGTCTCTGTGTTAACTCAATGGGGAAAATTTGAATTCTAGTAAATTGATGATGTCGATGATTAAATGAAATGATTTTGATTAATTAAGTAAACTAAGGTAATAATTAAGGTTAATAATTGTTGATATAACCAACAAAAGTTAATTGTTGTTGTTATTTGTTTTAGTTGGAAAAACTTTCACTCAAAGCAAAAAAGTTCAGGTAGATGATCAACTTTCATTCTCAGTTGATTAATCATGCAATTCAATGATTTACTGAATTTCTTTTCGTTTTTTGTTGAAACTTTTTCTTTTCTTACCTGAATTTTTTTCTTCCTCCTTCATCATCACCATCAAGATTGTTGATACTTGGTGACATCGTAAACAAACAACAATGACAACAATTAATTCGTAACACTTTGTTTATCTAACATTTAAAAGACATGATGATATTTGAAGTTAATCTGTTAAACTGAATTACTTAATTGTCGTGATTAGTGAATTACTTTTCTCTTGATTGTTGTCACAATTAACTATCTCTCTCTCTACCTAACCATAGCTGAGCTTAGTTTCAATCAAAATTAATCACTTATCTAATTGTCTTAAAACTTTTACTTTGCTTCCTTGATACACTAAGTATGATAAACAATTAACTAATCATGTGATTGTAATTTATTATATGCAAATAACAACCACAAATGATTAATGACAATCAACTTGATTTAATTTATTGTCTCTTTTCAAAGTTAATTCAATTCTTTTGATACATTTGAATTTGAATTTGTTTCTCTCATTGTTGACTGAATTAATTTTTCAAACTTCTATCAATCAACTTGATTATAATTGAGATACAACAATTGAATTGAAACTGTTATCAAATAATGTCCACTGATTGATTAGGAAATGATTGAATTAATTAACCTACGATAACCTTAAATACTAAAGTCTATTGACTTACCTGAGGGAATTGAACAAAATTTCAGAACTTTTTTCATTCTCGTTTATTGACATTTCTTTTTTTTTCTTATATTAAATTGATTAAACTGAAGAAAATCAATTTCTCAATTTAAGTTTGTCAAATTGTGACAATTTAAGATTTACGATAAGGTTAATGTATGATTATCAATCTATTAATTTGTAAATATCATCGAAATCGTCTCATTGATTACAAAAGTTTCTATTGTTACGTTGATTGTCACCTTAAATCAGATAATTGTTTTGATTGATAAATGAAAAAGCACCAGAATATTAACAAGAAGTAAATTAACTGAATGTTAATAATACTTTTGAGTTGATTATTACTCCGTAATAATGGATGACAATGATACTGAATCAATTTGGATGAAAAGATGATGATTAAGATGAAGTTGATTATGATGATTAAGAGGAGAGAGTAACAATAAAATCAGGATGAGAATTGAAAAAATGATTCAGAATGAATTCTTATGAATGAATCCTAATGACGAAAATAGAGTCAAGATGATGATTAAAGTATTGATTGTTAATTTACAAGGTGGAAAGTTAAATCTTGTCTACGATTGAACCAATCAACTGATTGTTGTATTGATTTTCGTCTTCAATTTGATTAATATAAGTGGCTAATTTAAATGCTATTGTCTCAATGGTGAATTTTTCATCCTCCCTGAATGATTCTCATGGTTGGAGAATTGAAATTTTGATTGTTTATCATGATAAAATCGTAGACTTGATGAACAATTTGATTAAAATTCACAATTTGATTAACTTTTCTGTTACAATTTAAAACTGAAACTTGTTCAAGTGACTTTTCTAATTGCAAATTTCATCATTTACTCTGATTATCTAATTGTTTCATGTGATTAATCAATTGATTTGCTGGGACATTGAATCTCATCCATCATTGATGATCATCAATATCTTACCATGTTAATCAGATGTTATTATAACTCAACTAATAATAAATCATGTTATTGATTATTCATCATGATGAAGATACTAGAAAACAATTTATTGATTGAGTTTTTTATACATCATCATTGATTATTGATCGGAATGATTTAAATGATGATTAACTTTAGCTCTTCTTTTTATTGATTGTTGGATAGAAAAACTAATTGCTATTGATCAGTGATCGTAATAATTTACTCTCGGTTAATGAGCAATGATAAGTTACAGTGACAATTTAGCTTGTCCTTTTCATCTTGATTGCTATTTAACTGATATTGATAATCAACTAATAATGATTAAGATGATACAATGGCCTTTATTAGTTTATCATCAACTCGATGATTCTTATTAATCAATTGATGAGAATCAAATTGAGTCTCTTAATAATGATTACCTAAACCTTTGATTCTCATTTTGTCCAATTAACTTGATTATTATCCTATCAATCTGATCAACCTTTTGTCTTAATTCATAATCAACCAAGTGATTAACTGTTAATCATTATAACCATTGATTATTATTTAAATTGTATTAATATACATATGTATATATTACACGATTTTGTATTAATTTTGTCCTCTAATCATAATCCAAGGTAATAATTAGCTAATTGTTTTGATTATGATTCGTTCACTTTCACAACGACAGCCTGATTATGATTTATTTACTTGATTCACACGTGATTAACAATTTAATTATCTGTAATGATCAAAGTTAATCCGTTAATCTCCTTTTTTTATGTAACTTTTTTTTCAATAATCATTACGATTAAATTAAAAATAAATAAATGATTAGAAAAAAAAAATCTACCGGATCAACTTTTTCTTAATTCTAATTGTGATGACGATTGAAAATTGTTAGTTGATTGTTATTTAAAGGTATTAATTACGTTATCATTAACGATTATTACCCAATTTAATCACAATCAAAGTTTCATAATCAATAACAAACTTTAATCCAGTGATTGAATGATTGACTTGATTGTTTCCAGTTATCGATTTACTTTGTTCACTTTAATTGTTATTAAATTGACCTTTTCTCTTGATTGTTACATAGTAACAATTTATAAATTTTATTGTATTGATGATCACTAATCAAATTGCTTACGAGTTTAATAACGAAATTAAGATTAAAGGGAAAGTTAATTGAATCTAATTGTCTGGAATAACTAATTGTCAGAAATTAAATTGTTTAGATTAGTAAGATGATTAGTTAATTGTTATTGCTCTTTTTTTTTGATTGATTCTAATTGAGTCAAATTCAAACAATTAAGCAAGGATGAAAAATCTGACGTCAAATTTAATCATATTATTTACCTTGATTAATTTAATTATCGCCTTGAAATTGATGAAATTAAACAATCAGGTAACAAATTAACAAATTGTAGTTAACTTATCTTAATCCTTGGTTAATTATTATTTAATTTTGATCACTATCAATAGCAATTAGTTAATTAAAAGCGGAAGCTATTGGATTTAACTGTGAATCTAAATCATTCAAGGTAAAGGTTTAATTAACTAATCAATTTAATCAAAGTTAGTAATTGTTAGTAATTGATTAAAAGGGAAACAAATTAATTATAACTAACCTTTAAATCAATTGAATTAACTTTTTTCCTTATTGATTAATTGTTAATAATAATTTGACAATCAACTGATAATTTTGACAAGTTGGTTAATCATATTGAACAACTTTGATTGACAAAACTAAATTGTTGACAATTAATAAAGTTAATTTAATTTCATCCCAATTTCATTTAACTCTCACTCTTTTTTTTTAATCATAACCTTTAATTGTTGCACTATTTTTGATGATTAAACTAAATATACTTTAAGATTTAATTGTAAACCTTGACAGTTTTGATAATCACAATTAAAAGCGTAAATTTAATCAGTTGAACTTTAATTGTAACTGAACCGTGAATTATTTTCAATTGGCAATTTGTCAATCAAATCTAATTTAGATTCATTCTGATTAACTTAAATTTCAACAATTAATAAATTGTCACTCACTCAAAGGTCCAACAATTAAGGTGAATAATGAACGTATATTATTAGATATCATGTTAATTGTTACTCAATTATTATTATATTCAAGGTTAATCATGATTCTGTTGATTAATTATGTTGATCTAAAAGAAGCAAGAAAAAAATAACAATCATTATGTTAATTAAATGTTAATTACTTAATTTACATCAGAACCATTTGTGTATTTAAATCAGTGATTGTTTGATTACTTTATTTGCTAATTTCTTGATCAAGCCTCAAGCTAATTGTTACAATCAGTGAATGAACCATGATTAAAGATTCAACATCAGCCTGATCTTTTCAATTAAAAAAAAAAGGTTAATTGTTGATCATTAATTGTAATCAAAATGATGTAAATTCAATTTCTTATTTAAACAGTTTCACCTGATCAGAATTGACAATTTACTGATGACACTCAGCACCAAACAGTTTAAGTCTCAATTTATTTGATTTGTTTTTAAATCCAATCAGCATGAGATCAATAAAATTAATTAATCCAGTTAATCAACTTGATGAAAAGCTAAATCAATACAATGTAATGAAAGGAAATCCTTTCCAAGATTTACTTTCAATTCAACGATTTGGTCCAAATGATTAGAAATGGCGATTGTATATTGATTAGAATGATTGAGATTAACAATTTAATTTAATAATCAAACGAAGGGCGATTATTAATTTCAATTAGAATTTAAATTTGAATAAAAAATTAGGATTCGAATCTCATTTGGATTAGATTCTTTTTCCAGATATTTCGATATTGTTTTTGTTTTTGTTTTTCTCTTTAAATTGTTGTCATTATTAAAATGACTCTTCTCTTTGATTATGTTTGTAATTTAATTTCTCTGTTTGTGTTTACCAATTTTCTGATTACAATTAGAGCCCAAATTAACTTCAGTATTCATATCAAAGGAAAAAGGTGAAGAAATTGGTCTTCTAATAAAAAATGGAGCTCGAGTCATGATCCACATAACAATTGCCACTCATGGTAATTTCCGTTATTCCAACATAAATAAAACCTCAGTTCTCTTTGTATCAATTTCATTCGCCATTCTCATGATTATATCTCTCGCCTGGTTAATATTTTATTATGTTCAACGATTTCGTTATATTCATGCCAAGGATATTCTTGCTGTAAGTATTATCTCAATTCTAATCCATGTTTATAACATTTTGGTTCCTCCACTGGTTAAAGTTAATACTTAATTTACCATTTCTATCATTTGATTACATCTGAGTTTCTAATTCTTAATTTAATTTTAAACACTTTCAATGTTAAGGTAAATGTCCTTTTCTATTAATTAGGTTATTTTTAACCTTCATTTTCTCATTTAATTCATTTTCTTCTTCCTCTCCTTCTCAATGTTTACTTTCTATAAGGTGATTTATTTTCTTCTCTTTGGCAAAGATTATGTTATTTTTTTGTTCTCTTCTCTTTTTTGTTCTCTCTAAAACAAAATGTTCTTTTTTTATCTTTTTCTCTCTTTCATGGTGAATATAAATGATGAAAGTCTGATTGTTTTACCTTTCAATTAATTTGAATTCTACTGACACTTGCATTTAATGCTTGGTCATTCCTTGATTGTTTCCTTAATTTCTCTCTCTCTCTCTCTCTCTCTCTCTCTGATTGTTACATTTTTATTTATAGAGGAGATTATGTAATGCTGCCAAAAAAGCCTTGGAAAAAATTCCCACCAAAACTGTGAGCCAAACCGATTTAACTAATGCAATGCAAGGCGATTTCCCGGAATGTTGTGCTGTTTGTATCGATCCATTTAAAATTAACGATGTTGTAAGAATTTTACCTTGCAAGTGAGTATTTATACTTGATTGATTGTAAATTGATTAACCAATCAATCAACTAATTAATCTAATATCTCTCGGTCTCTGTCTCTCTTTACATTAGGCATGTTTTTCATAAATCTTGTGTTGACCCTTGGCTATTGGACCAACGTTCATGTCCAATGTGTAAACTTGATATACTTAAACATTATGGTCTCATGGTTGTCATGGCTTCAGTAACTAATTTAGAATGGATCGAGGAACAAGGTTGATTAACTAATTAATTAATTAACAACCAAACAAAATGGAAACAATGTTTCTCCTCCATTCTAAACTTGGCGCTTCTTCAACTTGTTCGTCTCCAATAACAACCAACAACTTAACATGTGCTCACATTTGGGAAACTCAATCAATTTTTTTTCGTTTTTTGATCTCCTTATTTTTAATTATCAATTTATTTCTTCAATAGTTAATCAACTAACTTTTGTTAACTTTAATTTATGATTAATTTGAAATCGTTTTTATCATGAGTTTTCAAAAAGGAAGAGGAAAACCTAAGGGTCAAGTTCGTAAGCCTAATGTAAGTTGATTGAATTTTTTTCTCTCTCTCTCATTTTTGTTCTACGTGTTTTATTTGTAGTTTTAATTGTGATTGTTTTTTCTTCTCTCTGTTTGTCTTTGGATGTTTAGGATGTTTTCCTTGGATTGACTAAAGAACAAGAGATTGAAAATATTCGAGCTCATTATGATTTATTGCTACCAGAATCCGGTGGTTATATTGAACCAGACGAGTATGAGAAAACTTATCAAATCTCTCAGAAAGAAATTGCTTCCTCTGTTGATATTACAAGTGCGACAAAATATTTTGACCTTAAGCTAAATTATGGACCATATTGTGTCAACTATTACAGAAATGGTCGACAAATGTTGATTGGTGGTAATAGAGGTCATGTCGCTTCAATGGACTGGATTACCAAAAAGCTTATCTGTGAATTTAATGTGATGGAAACAATTTCTGATATCAAATGGCTTCACATGCCTCTACTTTTTGCTGTCGCTCAGAGAGATTGGGTTTATATTTATGATAACAAAGGTGTTGAGATGCATTGCCTGAAGAGACTCTATAAGATCAAAAAGATGGAATATCTTCCTTATCATTTTCTTCTGGCCACTGCATCGGAAAATGGACATTTAACCTGGACTGACACTTCTACTGGAACTATGATCTCACAATTTAGACCAAAGAAAGTCAGGAGAATCATGTGTATGACCAGTAATCCGAGTAATGGTGTCATTCTTACTGGACACTCCAATGGTACGGTCAATATGTGGACTCCTAACAGCAATGATCCTGCCATTTCAATGCTTTGTCACAATGGGGCCATGCGAGATGTTGGTGTCACTCTTGCTGGAAATCGTATGGCAACAATTGGTTCAGACAAAAATTTTAAATTATGGGACATTCGCATGTTGAAACCCATGAAATCTTACAGATTGAAAGCGGTTGGTGAATGTCTTGATATCAGTCAAAGAGATATGATCGCCATTGGAACTGGAAACATTGTTCAAGTTTTCAAAAATTGTTGGATACCGGATGTTACTGATCCTTACATTCAACATAAATGTCCTGGATTCGTAAAGAATGTTCAATTCTGTGCTTTTGAAGATGTTCTGGGTATTGGCCATGAAAATGGATTCACGAGTGTTTTAGTTCCAGGAGCGGGTGAACCTAATTTCGATTCATTTGAAGCTAATCCATTTATGACTACATCTCAACGAAAAGAGATGGAGATTAAAATGTTACTTGACAAAATTCCCCCTGAACTGATCAACATCGATCCAGATATTCTGGGAAAGGTCAATGTTCAAGAATTACGAGCATCACTGGAGGCAAAGAAGAAATTGAAATATGTTAAGGTCCCGAAAATTGTATTGAACGAAAAGAAAACAATGAGCTCGGTCGATAAATTCAAGTTAAAGAAACGATTAAACGATGATGCTCGTCGAAAACAAGTGAGAGCGATAATTGATGAGAAGGTTAAGGACAAAAGGAAGATGAAAGAAGATACTAAGACAATTAAAAGAAAACCAATTAAAGGAAAACCAATTAAAGGAAAACCAGTTAGAGGAAAAACATTCAAATCCAAAGGAAATCGAGCTGTTTCCCGATTCCTAGTGAAAAAAGGCCTAAAGCGAGGAAGAAAATCCAATAAATCGAACTTCTCGAAAATTTTGGACAGATTCAAATCGAAGGGCAAAAAATAATAGAAAACGAATCAAACTTTAAAAAATTATCTTTTTGACAATCAAATTGGTTCTGTAAAATTGTTTATAATGTAAATAATCATGGGGAAGATGCAAAACGATTTGCATTAATTTCATTATTAATTATAAAACAAAACAAAACATCTAATCATTTACACTCTAAATTGTCAAATTTATTTCTCCAATTGAATAATAAAACTAAAGAAATAAAGTTTCCATTACCATAAAAATACCGAATTTGTTTATTGATTCAATTGGCATGTTCCTGGTAAACACCAATTAAACTTACCGAATGTGGGAAATTGTTGACAATCAACTGATTGTGATCAAGGAAAACCGAACAAAAAATTTGACCTCACCGACTGTGTAGGTTTATGAGCGACCCCTCGGTTGGAGCTTCAGTTCAACAATCAGTTGTTTGTGTTGTTTAGTGTTCACTTGATTGTCTTTAATTTTCACTCTTTCAGTTGATTTAATTTCTTAATTTAGTTTGATTTTCATCACCATGTCATGAATTCATTGATACTCCAAAAGGTAAGTTTACGTTTAATCGAATTGGTTAATTGTTTTGTGTTAATTAGAGTTTTTTCTTTGTCATTCTAATGTTTTTTTCTTGTTAGAAGTTTTTTTTTCTTCTATTTCTTTAAGACAATTTCTTTAGTTGCACTTACTGGTTTTCCCTCTTTTTGTCCATGTTTTTGCTCTTTCTTTTTCTAACATTTTAAATATTCTTTTTTCTCTTTTTTCTCTTCTTTTTCTTTCACATTCTTTTCTTCTCATATTTCAAACATCCTTTTTGTTTCGATGGTGTGGCCATTAACTCTTCATCTTCTCATCCTGTTGTCTCTCATCTCTTCATTATCTTAGTGAAAATGTTTCGATATTTGTCCAAACGCTTTAGAAGAACTAGAAATAAATTTATTCGGGTTGGAAGGAGAGGTTTTCCTGAGAAAGATGAAAATGATCAACCGATAATCATTGTAAATCCAGAGAATTACTCTGGACAATTTAGCCGAAAAAATTATATCTATTGTAAGATAATGTTATTAGATGAAACCAATTTGACTGCTTATGTTCATAGACAGGCCAAAGGACAAGAATTTTTCCAAAGTATTGCCAATCATCTTGATCTGAAAACTGAATTTGATTATTTTGGCCTCCAATACACGGATACAACTTCAGTGCAACATTGGCTTGATTTAACTAAATTGGTCAAGAAACAAATAACCATTGGACCTCCTTACACTTTCCACATGAAGGTTAAATTTTATTCCTCTGATCCAAGTGGATTAAAAGATGAATATGTACGTTACCTGTTTTTCCGTCAACTCAAACAAGACCTGGTAACAGGAAAATTACCTTGTGATAAACCGACCACAGCTAAACTTGCAGCTCTCTCATTGCAATCAGAGTTTGGTGATTATGAATCTGATTGTCATGATATTGGCTTTGTTTCTGAGTTTAGGTTTGTCCCAGAACAAGATGAGAGTCTTGAAGAGATGACATTAGAAGAATGGAAAAAACTTAAACCTAAACCGGTAAGTTAATCAATCAATTTGTGTTTATTTATCCTCGATTCTTACATTTAGTTTTCTATTTTCATAAAACTATCAATTTCTCTAATCATCTCAATCTCATCTTTTCAGATCGAAAATGAAACCATGTCCGATACAATTTCAATGACTTCAACAACTTCCATGAATCCTGCTAATGCTGAAAGAGCTTTTCTCAACAAAGCGAAGTGGATTGAAATGTATGGTGTCGATATGCACACTGTCATTGGTAGAGATGGGAATGAATATTCATTAGGCCTAACACCCTCTGGAATACTCGTGTTTGAAGGGACAGTCAAGATGGGCCTTTTTTTCTGGCCGAAAATCATGAATTTAGAATTCAAAGGAAAAAAACTTTTTCTGGTTGTTGTTGAGGACGATGAACGTGGCCGTGAGCAAGAACATACATTTGTCTTCCGTATGCCAACAGTTAAATTATCTAAACACTTATGGAAATGTGCCATTGAATATCATGCCTTTTTCCGTCTTAAATCAACTCAAATTGCTGGTCCTGTTAATCAACGAAAAGCATTGATGAGAATGGGCTCTCGTTTCAGATTCTCTGGGCGAACTGAATTTCAAGCTACTCAATCTAAAATTAAAGCTAAAGAACCAGATAGAAAATTTGAGCGAAAACCTTCTCAAAGATATACTAGTCGTAGAAGAGTAAATCTCTCGGAGGGCACGGAATATGTTGAACATCTAAAGGACAAAGAATCTCAATCTACGAAAAGAAACTCAGAAAATACTCGACACAACAAGAGAAACAGTCGAACCAATATTTTAGCGACATTCGATTTGACTAAGAATGACGACAATAACCCAGAAAGAAAAAGAACCGATTCCCCAGGAGAGTTCGCTAAATCAACGGAGAAGAAAACGAAAACAACTAACAAACAAACTTCTTCGAATGAATATTTGACTATTCCTTTAGTGGACGATGAAGATTTTGAAGATGACGAGGAAATAGTTACTATCGAAGTGAACAACAAGAAAGACAGCGGAGAAAATATTTCCAAGGAAAAGAAACAATCAACTGAAGAAGTGATTAAAGCAAAGGAGAACATTAAAGTGGAAAGTGAAATAATTCCAGCCATGGCTAATATAAAATTGTCTTCAGAGATTAAGAAATCAACTGATATCGAGAAAAGAGTGCCAAATAATTCACCAATTGACGACAATTTAGACCCAATTTACGAGAATATTCAACCGCCACCTCTCGAACTGTTTGATTACGATTTTGTTGACCTTTTACTAGATATTCCAAGTATAACAACTAATCCATTTTTAATCGACATTGATGATAATATCGAGCCAATCGATGGTAACGAAGCCGCTGATTCTCACGCAACTCTTGATGATGATATTAACTCATCTGAAAGTATTAACGGTAAAGATGAGAGACGAGGAGAGACCAATGGTAATAATAAAGCTAAAACAATCATCGATATCACACCGATATTGATTAAAGATGTTGGAAGCAAGAAAGTGGACAATTTAAAGAATCATGTGAACAATTTAACAACGACAAACACAACAACGAGCACAACAATAGCCATGGATGAGGATAACGATGAAAGTGATACGATGAATGAAGATGATGAACCTTTAATTACAGAGACTTCGTTTGCAACGATAATTCCTGTTACCAAGTCAATTACTTTACCTAAAGTAGGATCAACATCCCCACCAACAACACCGCCATCAAATTATCACCAATCACCTAATCAATTAATTGATAAAATTGATAAAGAAGGACGAAGAAAAAACCACAACAATTTACCTAAACGATCAAATACAACAATCTCCAAAACAAGAATCATCTCAACAGACTTATGATTAAATGGATTAACAAGAGATTAAGCTCTAATCCATTGGATGTAAGAGATTAAGAAATGAAAAGTTGTCAAACTTTTAACAATGAAACGAGTTAATTGGTTGATCCAACTCGAAATCATTAACAAAAACTTTACTCAAAGAAAAAGAAAACAAGGTAATCAATTAATTGTAAAATGTAAATATATTTCCAAATGATTAAATTAAAATTTTTACAGTGACAAAAATGATTAAGTGAAAATCAGAAAAACAATAGATAACAAATGAACTTAATTAAAATTATCTTCCAATTGGGGCTGATGATTAATTGTGATTCCATCTTGATTTGAACATAATCAGTTGATAACAACAATTAACTATAAATGGATTTACATAGATGATGAAATAAATTGTTACACCGATTGATAAATGGAGAGAATGAAAAAAGTGCAACAATTAACGATCAACACAATTAACGACGACCCCAGTAACCACCATGACCACCGAGGATGATGATGTTTTCACCTCCTTTCTTGTCGTGTCCACCGCCTTGGATCAGTCCACCGCCGTATCCACCCCAGCCGCCGCCGAGGATAATTATGTCCTCGCCACCTTTACCACCGGCGGAAACCATTACACCGGCGAGAATAACAATGAGAGCAATTAAAACAATGGTTGATGAAGATTTGGAAAACATTTTCACGATGATTTAGATTTAGAAACAATCAAAAAGTTAACAGTCACAATCAGATTGATTTGGTTAATTCAATTGATGAATCATAGCTAATTGTGATTTGCTTATATACCTTTTTTTTTAATTCTGATTCTTAATTGTGACGATGGAACTGAGCGTAATTAAGAAGGAGGACTTAATCATTTCCCAATACTCACTAATTGTAATTAAAGTCTAATTTTGATTTGATTAACTTTTACCCTGCTGATTATTGTTGTTTACTTTTGATCAGTAACAATTAAAAGTTAATTATGATTATCTTTATGAATTCATCTTCTCGTGACAATTTATATTGTGATAGCCAATCAAAAATTGACAATTAAATCTGGTTCACTGATTATTGGTCTGAAATCAAAACAATTAAAATAAACATTTAATCAACTTTCCAGTTAATTGTATGAAAAGTTGATTCAATTAAAATCAATAATTAACAAAGTGAAAGTTTTGGTTTCTTAATCATCTGATTTAAATTGTTGTTCACTTTTTATCAATCAACTGATTGTGAACAATTAGCTTTAGAAATGAAATCATTTCAAGTGAATCAGCTAATTGTGATCAGTTGGATACAACCATCACAATTAAATTGTCATTTTTAATCAAAAATCTTGATTGTGATCATGACTCTAAATTTCAACCCTCAGAAATCACTAGTTGATTAACTAATAGCAAATTAATCATTGTAAAAAGAGATTACAATTTGATCACAATTAAATTAATTTCTCGCGAAATTTAATATTCAATGTGATTAATAAGATAATTGTAAAAACACACCAACTGATTATCTGAGATGATTGTTAATTGTCAGATTGATTCACAATCAACATTGATGATTTCATATGTGCAATCAATTAATTTAAATTCCTGGAATCTTGTGATACAATTAATTAAATTATCGTTTCTGAATCAACAATGAATAGCTGACAATTTAAATTGTTTGGTGAACTCTAATAATATTCACGACAATTAAGCTACTCATTGTATTTGATTTGTTCCTTTGTTGTAACAATTAACATTGATAGCGATTAAATTGATCTCAATTTAATAGACCTTAATCATCATCATAATCGCAACTTAATTGTTTAATCATAAACACGCAATTAAATGATTACTTTCAATTTGGCTTATTGAAAATTTTTGCTTCCGCATGTGAATTTAAATAATTAGAGAGGCAATTAAAATCAATCAGCTATAATTTTGTTGATTGTTTCAATAAAATGGAATCAAAATTTAATTGTTTTAGCCTTTTTTAATTGAATTTAAATTAAAACAATCAACTAATTAATACATTGTGAAGATGAAACATTAAATATAAACAACGATTGACAAAAGTTATCACAATTAAGTAATTAGACTCACCCAAAATTAGGGATCAAGTAAGTAAAAGTATTTTCGAGTTTTAATTGTGACAGTTAATTGATTAGAAAAAGAAATTAGTTTAATTATCATGAAATCGAATCAATTGTTCCAATTGATTGATAACGTCGTCGGAAAACAATTCGAAGTCGTTGTTCTAATGAAGCAATTCGATCACATTCGGCAATATTTTCTTCATCTGGTTTATATTCCTTAATTGTTGTCGTTGATTTGATTGTAGATTCGTCACAATTAACCTTAATCACTGAGTCTCTATTAGAATTGGTTATTTGATTACTCGACTCATTATCGCCACTGGACATTGTGAAATTGATGATAAAGGTTTAAGAGTTGGTTACAATTAACAATTTAGAAGCTAATTGTTGATTAGAAGTTGACTGTTCACTGATTAATTCAACACTGATTGTTAATTGCCAACTCACCGGGGGAACAATTAACAATCAATTAACAGGGGAAAATGTAATGATAATCTTGCTCGACAAACTTTATCAACCAAATCAATGATAATTTAAAATTAAATTCAATCTATGGTTTTGATAGACTAACCTAATTAATTTAAACCATTAATTTAATCATTTCCTGGTTCATAATTAATCAAAGTTAATTTAATTGTTCAACTGGTTAACTGTTAATTGTACCAAAAGAGGGCACTTGGAATAAGTTAATTAAAAGTTAATCTTAACTTTAGCTCGTGTAAATTATTAACCTAATTGTGATTACGATCGTCAATTAATTGTTCAATGTTGATCATTGAGTTAATCTTAGTCTCTTGACTTTAATCAAGTTTAATTTATTGTTCCGGTTTGTTAACAATCAAAGTTAATCATCATCTGAATTATGAGATTGTGATTATGATTAAGAATCAAGTGAAACAGTTATAATAATTAAAACGAAACAATTAACAACAAACATTATTAATCATCTTTTACGTGATTTCGTGCGGCCATTTTTAATCATCTGCATATGTTTCTGTTTATCATCGCCTTTAATCATGATGATTAACAAATTGTTGGCTAAACAATTAACCATCTACGCGACTTGGTCATCATTGTTCAATGGTGATGATGATTAACTTAATTACCAAAAATAAATCCGATTGTGTATTCAAATCATTTATATAATTTATTGCTGGAACAAACAAAATTTAAAACAATTAAGTTTATAAATGTCAACGGAAAGAGTTAATTGTTGATGATAAGAACACAATTAACAATTAAAAGTTGATTGATTAACTACTTTGAGTGTTGAGATTTATTTTGAAAGTGAAATTAAATTGTTTGCTGATAACTTTTTCTTAATCAATTTGAATCACACAATTAAACTAATCATCAACAGCAACATTTAACCTTTTAATTGTCTTAATTTACTTCTTAATTGTCAAAATTTATTGTATACAATTAAGGAGTGGTTACCAAACTAAATCAATTGGTGTTACTAGTGAAAATAAATTCACATTATCAAAGTAACAACAATTTAAATTATTAAACTGATTTAGTTTTCATTTAATCCAGTTGATTAACTGACCCATACTTTACCAGGTTAATCCTTTTATATGAAATTATATTAATTGTAAACGATTAACTAAGAAAACAATCAAGTCAATCATTGAAATTAACTTTGAACAAACGTTGATTAATATAACTTTTCAAACTAATTAACGGGAATCAAAACTAATCGAGTTGAATTGAAAAAAAATTTACATCCCAACAATCAACTGATTCAAGTTGATATAACATCAACAATCAGTTAATTGTTTGAACTTTCAATTTGAATAAATGGAAACGGGGAAAACAAATCAGAGACCAACAATTTAAAATGATTAAGAAAATGTTCATTTATCAACAAGGTAACAATTTAAATCATTAATCACAAAGTAAAAGATGTCAATCAATTAATTGATGAGATTATTAACCCTACTAATTAAAAACTAATCGCTGTTACAATAACAATTAAGTTCAATCAACCTGATAAATTGTTTTCTAATCAACAATTTAATTTACCAACAACAACAACAAGATGATCACAATTAAAAGTAGCCCAATTCACCTTCATCACTTTACTAACAATTTAATAATCATCCCAATTAATTTTGATCATAACTTTTTTTTCAGTTCTTCAGTTAATTAAATGAATTAAAGGTGTGCTAATTTAGTTGATTGTTATGATTAAACCTCCTAAGCCTTACCTTACTTTAATAGTTGACTTGATAATGATTAAAAAAAGGATCGCCTACTGATTGTGATTAACATTAATTTTTGCAAAAATTAAACCTCATGATCAACGTTTTGTTAAATTACAATTAATAAATTATTAGTATTACATAATTTAAGAGTCAAAGTTTGACCCAAATCAAATTGATTGTAACAATTTAAAGTTAATTTGGTTCATTATGAATTATTTTTTCCTATTGTACTTCCAGACATTGTATATCAACAACAATAGTGACTGAGTGTTCATCAGAGTTAATTGTGATTAATTTAGGTTCAATTGATCAATGATGACGATCAAATTTACTATTACAATCATGATAATGATTAATAATATTATTACATGAATGATGATCAGAAATTAATGTTTACTTATTGAATAATAATGGACGATGTTGATTATGATTGAAACCATTGGTTATTTAATTACATTGTATTGTGATTAATACACTTAATTGTTGTGAGTGTATGATGAAAAAACGCCCTGAGGGAGGGTGGGAAGTTGTTTGTTCCCGGTGTGTGTTGATTTAAATCAACATCAACCTACTCAATCAGATGAATAGATTGCAATTTGTTTCTCTTGCAATATATCATTACATGATCTTCATCATTTAATCAAGTGATTAACTTGATTATATTTGTAAATTGACCTTCATTGATTGTCCATTAATTTGCTTTGTGTATATTAATTTTCCTCTGTCCACTCGAGGCTCAATTAGTCAATATTAATATGTTCAAATTAACTTGTCGAGGTCAATGATAAGTACTAATCAGTGAAAAAGAGACACCAAATTAATCAATATCTAATGGTGATTGTGATTAATTAGCTTACCACTAAATGATTGACTCTCTCTTTCAATCAATTTAAAGTTACTTAATGATGATGATGATGATTTAAGATGATTGTGTTTACTTTAATTGTGAAAGGAAGAGGATGTTTTTCATTCATGTCCAGGTATTAATCTGAAGGTGATCGAGTCCAAATAATTACATAGTAACTTTCGTAGGCTGGGAAATATTGAGGTGTAACTTTTGGCCCAAAACCAACGATGTGATGACGAAGATAATGATGATAATGATGATAATTATGATGATGATGATGATGATGATGATATTACTATAAAAAGAATAAAAAATATCACTGTAAGTTACCTTTTTTTAGAGAAATTTTTTCTCTTCTCCTGGTCCAGTGAATTTCAAATTACTGACCTTATGCAGAATCAAAGACATAGCAGGAAATATCCTTCTCATCATCATCATTATCATCATGTTCATCATCATCTCCACCAATTCTGCATATACAATGACAAACATTATTAACCTCACCCTTGTGACCTTACAAACGTTGATTGTTGATCTTAATCACAATAATATATTAGATTGTTATTAATAAATGAATACAAAGAATCATCAGAAATAAAGTAAAATAATAATCAGATAAACAGTAACTTTCATTACTGTAGTTAAGTTGATTGTTACCATGTTTGGCTGATTATGTTTCACTTCATCGGGTAGATTGTTTAAATGTTGATGAGGATGATGAGGATGATGATATAATATCATCCATGGAGAAAGGAAGAGAGAGAGAGGGAGAGACCGGAAAGGAAATAATTTGTAATTTCCTGTAAGAAGAAAGTAAAATGAACCATTGGCATAGTTAATGAAATACAAGAAGTAATCAGAGACTAAGAAGCTGATCATCAATTGGATACGATTGTAATCATCATCGATATTGCTCAGAATTAAGTTAAATTATTTAACAATCAAGGATAATGTAACAATAGTAATTTAAGTTTAAGGAAAACAATGAAATTTTTAGAGGAAAAAGTTCAACTATCACCACGGTAATCAAGGTAATGTCAATCACTATGGTTGAGTAAGTAAAAGTTGACCGAGAAAACAACACCGGAAAAATTGTTTATCATGGATACGGATGAAGATGAGGATGAAGATGAGAAGGGCAGAGATGGTGATGATGATAGAGAGAGAAAATTTATCTAAACTAACCTGTTGAACTAATTTTTTTCACATCAAAAGTTTCATCAATTTTTTGCTCTTCTCGGTTCCACTTTCCTTGGATTAACTTGATTAATTATAGCATGTCAGGTATCAGCCTTAGTTAAGATTATCCTTTTCAAGGTGATGAGTCTTATCTTTGGATTAATTGATTCAAGGTCATTGATACTTTTCCAATCAAATGGATTCACCTTTTCACTCAATGATTATTTTAATCTGACCCTAATTATGAATACGATCAGTCAACCCTGTTGTTGTTGTTGTTGCTATTTATTCAAAGACTATTAAAGAGTACGAGTTAATCACCACCATCATTTTGATTATCATCTTGAAGATAAATTATTCTCACCTGAAATGATTATTCAGTAGGAGGAGAGAAAGAGGAAGAGTTGACATTACCTGAGGAAGATGAAAACATCAACATCATCTGACAATCTTGTTCCATGAATGATAATCATGTTGAGATTTTCCTTCATTCATTGTTACCTTTTTTCCATGAGATTTGACCTTGTTCAATATTGTTATCTCCATGTGACCCTTTAATTGTGTGATTGCGTGAGGGAAACACTTCGTGATAATCATCATGATGGTGGTGATGAAGGAATGAATTTAATGTGTATTAAGTGATAATCTGTGTGAATTGACATCACTTGACTTTCTTGGTGTGTTGTTGTTCATCATCAGGATGATTACCATGATTATCCATCCAACTGAATCCCAATTTCATTTTAATCTTCTCGCCGAGTCCAATGCACATTAGATTGTTACCTTTACCCATTTCGCTGTCTCTTTCTTTATCTTCTTTATCTTCCTTATCTTCCTTGACTTTCTTTTCTTTCTTCCTCTATTGTTTCAATCAGTTCTTTTTCCCCATTCTCATCAGGGAAAAAGAATCTTCATCAGATTCAGATTCCCCTTTTATCTCATCTTTCACTTAGACTTACCTTTCCTCTTCCTCTCTCTCATTCATCTCATCGTTTATCATGTTTCCAATTCACAGATTGAATCATTCATAAGGATCCATATAATTTGATGAACAAGATGATGAACAAGATGATGAACAAGATGATGTTGATGTTGATGAAGAATGATGTTGATGATGAAGAGGAGGTAATGAAGAGAAAGAGAGAGAAAGAGAGAGAATCAAATTGGAAACCTGGAATAAAAAAGAAACTCAGAAAGAAGGAGATGGAAAACATTACGTTAATTTCTTAACATGAACCTGTTGATGAACAAGAAGATGATGGTAATGATGATGGAGACTATTATTAACGATAAATCTCACGTTCCAAGGAGTAGAGATTCATAACCACCACAAGATCCAAATATTGACTCTTACCTGTTGATCAAGAAAAAGAGTAAAAAAAACAAAGGAGATAAAGAGTTAATCGATTATATCATTTTCTATTGATTGTGTATCTTGATACACTTTTTGACATTATGAGTAACGAGAGATGATGATGATTATTACATAAGAGAAAAAAAAGAGAAAGAGAAAGAGAAAAATAAAAATAAAGGTAAAGGTAAAAAAGAACAAGAAAAAGCCTAAGAAATGAGAAGAGAAAAAAAAAGAAGTGATTACATTAAAGTGAACCGGTTTTGAGAAGAAGATGAAGAGAAAGATAAAGATGAAGATGAAGATGAAGATGAGGATGATGATGATGGCGAAAGAATGGAAGCGATGGCCAAGGAAAGAAAGGCCACTTCTCCCGTCAGAATGACCTCTCTTTCTTTCCTCTTTCTTTCTTTTCTTCCTTTGGTGAAGCTCAAGTTTCTTTCTTCATCTTTCTCTCATTTTCTCTTCTTCTTCTCTCTCTCTCTCCCTTTTCTCTCTTCTACTTTTTGAACGTCTTCTTTTCTCTCTCTTGTTTCTTTTGGGCTTCTGTTACATTCTGTGTGTGTTTCTTTCTCAAGTATTGACTTTCTATCTTTTGATTAAATGAGTAACCATTTCAATTTAATTGTTTTCAATTCGTTTAATTGTGTTAACCTTTGTTATTTATTTACCATCTTTACATCATCGGCAACCGAAACCCTTGGAAACAACAATCGGAAACCCGTTGGAAAACATTGGCTTTTTGTTTTCTTCTTGATTCTCTACCTGGTCCGATATTTTTGATTACATCTTTTTGTTTTCTTCTACTTGTACTTTGTTGCAAAGGAAAAAAAAAGACTTTGAGTTCTCATTTTTATTCAATCCATTGGAATCTCTTTATTGTTTTCTTTTCGTTTTGAAGTGAATTCTTGTTTTACTCTTTGAAAGTAGAAAAAAGAATAGAAAAACAAAATTCTATTCTAAAATGTTTCGGTTTCTATCTAAACGTTTTGGAAGAAGTTTCCGTCGTCGAACTAAATCAGCTACAATTGGAAGAGGTGCCACACCTAATACAACCACTGATGATAATGATCAGTCAACAATCTATGTGAATCCCGATGGTTTCACGGGAAATTTCAGTCAGAAAAATTATATCCATTGTAAGATCATTTTGCTTGAGGGAAGCAATTTAACTGCTTATGTTCACAAAAAGGCCAAAGGAGAGGAATTATTCAACTCGGTTATTAATCATCTTGATCTGAAAACTGAATTTGATTATTTTGGCCTCCAATACACGGATACAACTTCAGTGCAACATTGGCTTGATTTAACTAAATTGGTCAAGAAACAAATAACCATTGGACCTCCTTACACTTTCCACATGAAGGTTAAATTTTATTCCTCTGATCCAAGTGGATTAAAAGATGAATATGTACGTTACCTGTTTTTCCGTCAACTCAAACAAGACCTGGTAACAGGAAAATTACCTTGTGATAAACCGACCACAGCTAAACTTGCAGCTCTCTCATTGCAATCAGAGTTTGGTGATTATGAATCTGATTGTCATGATATTGGCTTTGTTTCTGAGTTTAGGTTTGTCCCAGAACAAGATGAGAGTCTTGAAGAGATGACATTAGAAGAATGGAAAAAACTTAAACCTAAACCGGTAAGTTAATCAATCAATTTGTGTTTATTTATTTCAATTATTCTTTTATTTGCTTTTTTCTCTTCTTTTTTTTCTAATATTATAATAAATTGTCTTCTCTTTTCTTGTTCAGGTCGGTGGAACCTCCATGTCCGATAGAGTGTCAATGACTTCAACAACTTCCATGAATCCTGCTAATGCTGAGAAAGCTTTTCTCAACAAAGCGAAGTGGATTGAAATGTATGGTGTCGATATGCACACTGTTCTTGGTAAAGATGGGAATGAATATTCATTAGGCCTAACACCTACTGGAATACTTGTGTTTGAAGGAACAACCAAGATTGGCCTATTCTGTTGGCCTAAAATTTTGAACCTTGAATTTAAAGGGAAAAAGTTAATCTTAGTTGTTGTTGAAGATGATGATATTGGTCGGGAACAGGAACATACATTTGTCTTCCGTATGCCAACAGTGAAATTATGTAAACACTTATGGAAATGTGCTATTGAACATCATGCCTTTTTCCGTCTTAAATCAACTCAAATTGCCGTTCCGGTTAATCAACGAAAAGCATTGATGAGAATGGGCTCTCGTTTCAGATTCTCTGGGCGAACTGAATTTCAAGCTACTCTTCAGCAAACAAAAGTTAAGGAACCAGATAGAAAATTTGAGAGAAAACCTTCTCAAAGGTACACTAGTCGTAAACGAATTGCGTATAAAGAAACAAAGGAAAAGAAAGAAAAAAGTCACTCTGGTCATGATTCTAAATCAAATAGCTCATCACATACACACAATTCATCTCACACCGAATCAAGAAGTAAACACAATTCAGAGATTAAAAGTAAAAATAGTCTCAACTCTTCAGAGGGAAAGAATAAAACATCAAACAATTCAGAAGAAAAAAAGAAAACCAGTCAACATCATTCAGAAGGAAAGAGTAGAAGCCACTCGGAATCACGAAACCGAAACACAGAAAGTAAATCAAAACACCAAAAGAAAGAAGAACAGACAAACATACTTGCGACATTTGACCTAACAAAGACTAGTGACTTTGAAGGTGAGAAAACAAAGTCTGAGACTCCTGAGAATCGTCTTGATAATCTAATTAAATCTCTCACTAAACCCGGTTCAACAGCATCTTCAAGAGGTGAATTATCGTCTTCGAAAGGATGTTTAACTGTTCCTTTAGTGGATGATGAAGATTTTGAAGATGACGATAAAATAGTTACTATCGAAGTGAACAACAAGAAAGACAGTGGAGAAAATATTTCCAAGGAAAAGAAACAATCAACTGAAGAAGTGATTAAAGCAAAGGAAAACATTAAAGTGGAAAGTGAAATAATTCCAGCCATGGCTAATATAAAATTGTCTTCAGAGATTAAGAAATCAACTGATATTGAGAAAAGAGTCAAACGAGTGCCAAATAATTCACGAACAAACACCAAATTAAAAACGATGTCACAAAATAGGAGATCGATCAACAAAGAGGCCAAATCTGTCAGACAACCATCACCTCCAGTGTTAGTTGATTTAAGTGATCATCGATCACAGGAAAGTCTTGTTGATTTTTTACGAGATATTCCAAGTAAAACAACTAATCCATTTTTAATCGACATTGATGATAATATCGAGCCAATCGATGGTAACGAAGCCGCTGATTCTCACGCAACTCTTGATGATGATATTAACTCATCTGAAAGTATTAACGGTAAAGATGAGAGACGAGGAGAGACCAATGGTAATAATAAAGCTAAAACAATCATCGATATCACACCGATATTGATTAAAGATGTTGGAAGCAAGAAAGTGGACAATTTAAAGAATCATGTGAACAATTTAACAACGACAAACACAACAACGAGCACAACAATAGCCATGGATGAGGATAACGATGAAAGTGATACGATGAATGAAGATGATGAACCTTTAATTACAGAGACTTCGTTTGCAACGATAATTCCTGTTACCAAGTCAATTACTTTACCTAAAGTAGGATCAACATCCCCACCAACAACACCGCCATCAAATTATCACCAATCACCTAATCAATTAATTGATAAAATTGATAAAGAAGGACGAAGAAAAATCACAACAATTTACCTAAACGATCAAATACAACAATCTCCAAAACAAGCATAATATCAACTGAATTGTAAACAATTAACAGTTGATAGTTTTATGTTTGAGTAAATATGTAAATCGTTGAGAAAGGTAAGCCTAATTTGCTATTTAATTTTATCTTAATCACTTAATTGGTGTTCATTGAGTCTTTAGTCTGTCCATTTTTCTTTGGAAAAAACTATCTAATTACTCAACCTTTTAAGATCAATTAAATTTACTTGAATGATTAGAAATGTAATCATTGATGATTCTTTGAAGCGAATAGATTGTTAATTTTTGCTCATGTTTTTCTTTCTTTCTTTTCGTCTTTTCATGATAATCTCTCATTAATTGCGATTTAGAGGTGTGTTCGTTTGGGAGATGTACTTTTATTTATTGTTTTGTCCAATTTAAATGGATAATCATGAATCACTTGGATGTATTACCTCGGATTTTGACTAATTAAAAAGCTGATCCACCAACATTGGTTGTTGCCCTCGGAAGATGAAGACTCGGAAAATGAATGAGCCTTGGTGAGAGACTCGGTTGAAGTTTCTCAAGACTGGAAATAAGTTACACACTTTCAAGAGGATTGGCTGATGATGAGCTGTCCAAATGGATGAGTGATATTTAGCATCGACCTAAAAGGATTGGCCAATCTGGTCGTTGAAAGATTAAGAGCAGAACCAGCTAGAGGTCAAGGATGATGATACCATGTAAATTATTGACCCTTAAAAAAAGTTGAAGACAAACAGTCCTACCAATTAGTTTGATTCTAGGAATCAAGTTTATCCCTGACGGTACATTGATTTTTGCATGTATTTGCAGTTCTAGAAATTGGCCTTGAGATCGTGCAGGGAACCTGAACAATAAGAAACAATTTGATTTAGTTTCCGGTTAAGTTTCTTAAATTCATCATTCAACATGATTCTTAATTTTAACTATGGTTTGCATGAAATGGAAACTAAATTTACCAAGTTGTTGAAAACCTTGAAAATGAACCAAACAAAACTCATTAAGAGTTAACCTTCAATCATTACCTGAGCAATTTAAGGATCGTGTTTACTTGCCGATGTGAAATTATTATTCTAAGTGAAATATCTCCGTTCAAAGGGATTAATGAATCTCACTCTTTAATAGTCCCGGTGATGAGGATTCTCATATCCTATGAGTGTTTCTATCTCAACTGATTTGCAACCAACTCGCCCAATTGTAAGTCCAAAAATTCTTGTCTCATTGAATGATTACCTGTAGAGCTGAAAGATGGAGTTAGGAGAAAGTCGATATTACAATTCAAGAAATGGATCCGAATCTCAGTTGATGAATTTTCAACTGAATTGCTGGTGAAAAGACTCAATCCAAGTATTGGAATTGGATCGAAACTATTACAATCAAAAACGAAACTGATTGTGTTTACAAATCTACTAAGCCTGATAATTGGATTTAATTATTGACTGTTTCATTTGTGTTTTCTAATTACATTATTTTATTTAAGTGACCAAATCTTATCATGTGCGAACCAAAGTGTATTAATTTTCTTAATTTAACTTTCAACTGAAAGAAAAACAATCATATTCCATAGCTCTTGGTCCAGTTTTGTTTCTTCCATTCAATTTAAACAACAATAGTAAGAACATTAATGTTGTAAACTTATTCAACCTTCTATTTTTTTCTACTGTTCTATCTTTATCTCCTATCTCTCTCTTTTATCTGACTGGTATCATTTTGTAGAAATGCTTGAAGGTAGAAGTCTAAAAGGACGGAAAAGCTTAGGCCAATTTGAGGCCAAAGGGATTATTGATAATCGTAATCGACAACAGAGAAGTGATGGAAATACTCGCTATCCCAATTCGATGGTTGGACTGGTCAAGACTAACATGACTACAAGAATTCCAAAGAAAATTGATACACCAACTCTTACCACATCAGTGTCATCATCTTCTCACCATCAGCAACAACCTTTATCCGTTCCAACATCATCGAAAACAGTACCATCTCCATGTCCCGTTACCACGACCACAAGTCCAACAACCATGACAGAACTCACTCCAGAGATACATTTTTTAATTCGTGAACATGCCAAGACTTTAGAGACCATCAATAAGATAACCAATCGTGTGGATAAACTTGATCACAAGATTGATGATATTTGTCGAAAGGTCACTCAAATTGGAAACAATGTAATCAAGAAAGGCGAATCATCTGGTACTGCACCCAATGCGCTAAGTGACGACAGTGGTGTCGAATACAGTTGGACAACAAATGGAACGGGTCCTGATGATGATGAACTTTTATCCCTGTTAAATCAAATAACCAAATTTTCTGCCTCAATTAAGAATCAAAAATGTCGCCCAATACCAAGTGAACCTCTTGCACCACCAAAATTATCAGCATCTAGAAAAATTGTCTCTTCTTCAATGGATCATCCCCGATTGAATGAATGCCTCGACTCAAATTCGGCACCTCAATCTTTCAGTGCCTTGTTGTTTGAATCAAATGTTGAACATTTTCTGGCTAACCTCGATTTCGTTCCCGAGCCAGTTAGAACTAGTGATTACATCTATCCACCCTCCATTCCCGCATCTCAACTCTTACCTTCTAATCACCGTCAACATCATCAACCTGTCAAATCTCACCCAATTTCAGCTACTCGCTTATTGACTGAAACGTTATTTCAGCCGCACGAGCAAAAAGACCAGAAATGAAAATTGAATCAGCTTTATTATAATTATGATTAATCCAGACAACGTTTGGCCGAAATTATTTTCAAACAAGTTCGATAATTGTATTTTACTTTTCTTCTTCTTCTGAATTGGTGATCAAAGTTAAAGATCAGATCCCGTCAAAGGGAATTAGTGAATCTCTCCGTCCTTGATATATTGACAATAATAATTATACGAAGCCTCGATCGTCTTAAAGACATTTTATCAAGAATTTAACTAATCTTGCAAACGATAAATTTAAATTATCATTAATAGAATACAATTAACATTGATTACTTTCTATTATCACCGCAAGTCACATGCAATGTTTTCGACATTCAATTGTTCAATGAAAAACTCAATCAACTTATTGAATCTGTAAAAAAACAATCGTCATCATTATGACCATTTAATGAACAATCAATTTTGACGGACACACGTAAACATTTAATCAATTGAACGAATCTCAATTTTCAAGTGAAATGTCTCAACTTGTAAATTTCTTGTGAAATATTATATTTTATAATTTGAATTAATTGTACAATTTTTGATCAAATCTCTTTTTTAGTAGATTAAACCATTTATGTTTTATAATTAATAAAACCAATTAACACCAAGAATAAAATTTTGGTAATTTGATTCAATTTGTAAGGAAAATTTTCAAATATGAAAACTGAATTTCGATGAAAATTTTCATGGTGATGACTTTCGATAGATTAAGATTTTATTATTCGCCGGCATATCGTAAATTTGAACAAATCGGAAGCCAAATTGGTGAGCAGTCGAACCGACATCTCGAGTATCCCTGACACCCCAACTCGAATCTCGAGCTCGAAGACTTTGGTCAAAATTAACGTTACTTTCGGGGGTCAAGATACCGTCAATAGAAAACGGTCCATACAGAATAATTAACCCATTCTCCTTAATCAACTGTTGACCTGAACGGAACAATCCAATGGTACATTCATAAGGTGAAATGTGAATCATGTTTACATTCAGAATGAAATCATAATGGGACAATTTAGCGACTTGTTGAGGCCACAAATCCAAAGGTTTCGTTACATCAACCAACTCCGGTGGTTTAACCCTTGATTTGATTTCATCATTAGATTCACGATAAGCTCTAATTGAGGCCAGTGAACTTTGATCGTATTCAGTTGGCTGCCAGATGATATTCGGTAAATTTGAAGCGAACCAGGTGACATGTTGTCCAGTTCCAGACGCAATTTCCAGGCCATTTAACTGAACATCGGGTGGTAACACTTTCCTCAAAATGGATAAAATCGGATTCTTGTTACGTTCAGCGGCGGGAGCTTGGAGCATTTTCACACAATTAAACAATCTTACGACCAGAAACTCAATTAATCTCATGCAAAAGAGGAAAAATTGACCATGAAAACAATTCCAATGAAAGATTATATTGAATCAGGTGATTCTCATGGTAACTATTGGTTACCAATTCTCATTTTCGCTTCACTTTGGTTACATCATTAGTTGAGATAATTGTTGTTTCTCCTGATCATTTTATCACTTTAATTGCCAAACAGGTAAAATCTATTATGGTTAACAATTAGCTAATTAAAGGTAAGTCTTTTTCTATTTACATTTTCTCTTCCTTTGAGTTGATTAACTTTCTCTTTTCTGTCACTTGAATTTCATGTAAACAAATGTCCAACTTTACATATCCAATTGCTCATTACAACTTCTCTTGGAATCATCCAATCTACTTGAATACCAATTAATTTCTGTCTAATTTTAGAGGTTAATTGTTTATCAATTAACTACAAATTGTATAGTCTTTGGTTACATGTTGCAAAAAGGACAACCGGACATCCTCATCCTGTGTAATCTTAACCTGAAATTTTGTCTCTCACTGGTTAGTGTTTTTTTCCCTGACTGTCCGTAAATGTCAATTGTCACAATTATTGGTCTTTTTTCTGTAGAAGACAATTTACTTAATTTAAATTCATGGTTAATTAGTCTTGAATGAGGAAAATTGATTGTTAAGTTTAGTTTATTTCTAACAACCTTGTAATTCATCTTCTCCCTTCTTGTTGAGCTGTTTATTCATAACATGGAATCAGTCATGAAAATATAGTTTCCATTATCTTAATGTGTTGATTGTTTTCCAAAACTAATTGTTAATCATCTTTACTCAATTGGTTCTAATATTTTCTATTCTCTCTTTCCCCTAATAGATTGTGATCAATTCAATACAGGAAAATCATCAAAGTCCAGAGTCATGTCCAGTTTCAAGGAGAAAGTGAAAGATCTTGACATATCTTTAAGCTACAAGATATTCAAGAATTATCCTAAAGGTGCTAAGTACCGACGATTATTATCTGTCCTCGAATGGTCCTGCCATGGAATCCCCTGGTTCATTGGTGTAATCATTGCCATCTACATTTGGCCTGAGAGTAAACTGTTGGCACAATTGTTGGCCGGTTTGTTGCTCGACGTGATCGTCGTTGCGCTTGTCAAAGCTTTAGCACGTCGACGAAGACCAACTTATGCCAATCAAGATGATCAGTTGATCGTTGCATCGATTGATAAACATTCTATGCCCTCTGGTCATGCATCTCGAGCGGTTTATATTGCCCTTTTATTCAACACCGGATCATTTTGGTCGCAATGTATCTGGGCCTGGGCTGGAATCGTCGGTCTATCCCGAATCTTCATGGGTCGACATCATATACTTGACGTTGCGGCGGGTTTTGTGTTCGCTTTCACCATTTACACTTTACAATTTTGCTTCGGGGGATTTTTGAATAAACTAATCATTTGGATTCTTCTTCATCAATTTAGTAACACCAATGATTTAACTGAAGGTGAAAACATTGTCGTCGTGTCTTCAGATGATTAATCAATCACTTCTGTCATCATCGTCTATTGTTTAATCAACTTAGATCCTAATTAACTTGATGATTCTCAACGAATATTGTTACAATTTAACAATTAAGATCTCTCCTTGTTCATTTCCTCAACTAATTGTTAACTCATTTTGTGCCTTAACCCAAAATTTAGAGTACAAACAATTAACTCTATGAAAGAAAATATTGTTTTTTTTTCGTTTCCTAATTGATCCAATCATCTATTCAATTCTTAATTATTAATTGATTACAAATCCTTTTGATTATATTTTAACCCAATCAATTGACAAGATGAAATTATTGTTTTCACTAATTAGTTGATAACATTATGTAATATTAAACGAGAAAATAAATAAAATCAACTTTACGTTGATGATTAATGAAAATCTCACAATTTAATCAAGATAATCAACAGAAAATAATCAAGGTAAGAAAAATAATTAACCGATGAGATTTAATCACTATGGATGAAGATTAATAATCCTATGGGAGAATCACAGCAATTTAAATGCTCAATTAAAAATTAACAAATTAGTTACAATTAACACTATCAAGAAATAAGAATATCAAATTAACTAATCACTAAATCAAATTAACTTGTACGTGATTAAAGTCACAACTAAATCTAGATATTAATCAATGGTTAATTGTAAAAGTTGACATTGACTTTTGACTTTAAACCTTAATCAATGAAAGCTTATAAATCAACTATTAATTGTTAACAATTTAATTTATAAAATTGCAAAAATTTTCAATTCAAAGCCTCAGGTCAATCTCATGTTAATGATAATAGTTGATTATTAATAAGCATATATATATGTAAGAGTAAATATTTACCCTGAGGCGATATAATTTTTTTTACTCGAATTATTTATTGATTAACATTTAAACACTAATTGTATTAGTTAATTGTTAATGATGTTTCACTTTCTCTCTTGATATTTGACCTTCAAACAGTAAGACGATGGTTAAAGGTAAGTAAGTTTAATTTGGTTCTTGATTTAATAATAATTAACGAAAGAATCAAATTTGACCTTCAATTTTTGGAGAAGTTTTTCTTTAATCACAATTGGATGACCATCGTCCATTATAAGTGTTTCGAAGTGTATGTATCATGACCTGATGACCTTCGATTGGTTATATGAGGAAAGTTTCACTTCGAAAATAAAAAGAACTCGAAAATTTTAACCTCAACCATTGACCCAACCTCTTAATTGAACAGTATCAAAGTACTATTTGGATAAGGTTTTATAATCGTAATCATCATTAGCTGATTGTTAATCGAGAATCAAATTGTTTAAACCGAAATAATCTAAGTTTAAATTAAACTTAAAGTTCGTAACTTTATTCAGCCTCCGTGTTGAAAGTCAGGTCATTTTAATTGTTCGTAAATCAACTGGATTCTTAGTAACCGACTCACTTGAGAAGTTGAAAAATTAACTAATCATCATCAACAATTTAAATTTGATTCTTAATTTGCTCACTTGCTGATTGTTTATATAAAAGGTTTTCAGTGAACTTGAAAATTGTTTGAAAACAAATTGATTTGATTGTGTTAACATTGTGATTAGTTTATTGGTTTAACGTTTATACTTTTGTTGGACTTTAATTAATCAAACTGATTAACAAATTTAATCATAAAATCATCATGGGAGGCAAGGTAATAGTAATCAAATTGTTTCTGTTAATTGTTTGTCAAGTTAATTGTTTCAAGTGAATTTGAAAAGTGAGTCGACTAATTGTTTTCTTTTAATTTCTTTAGCTTCTTTGTGTCTTTATTTTAATTCTGTTGGTTGTTAATTGTGAAGCTTCAATTGCTTATTTTGAATCATATGGTTGGCCTAGTTATGGAATCGTTAAACCTTTCTGGATGAGGCCATTTTCCGATCATCCCGCTAAGCCCATTTCTGGATATTCAAGGAAACATTTTGTCCGTTCTGCTGGATTAATTGTTGGACCTCGACTTTATTGATTGACCATTGAACTCACTCAATTTGTACGATCTCATCTCCAAGCTAATCCACTACAATCATCATCCATCAAAATTGTCACAATTAGTAAATTATAACAAAGATTATCTATTTATTTCTAATTTATTTACAACGAAAGTTAATAAATGTCATAAGATATTGTGAATTAATCGTTACCGTGATTATTAAATTTCTGTGGGTAATTTAACAATCAGCTGATTGTAAAAGTGATATCTTGACGTAATTGGATATGAAAAGGTTAACAATTAAGGTGACAATTGTTTCTCGGGAATCAATTGAATAGGCAACTAAATTGTCATTTGAAATTTTTATTTTAAAATTAATTTCGGATGAATTGAGTTAATAGGTTGAAATATTTATTATGGTACAAAATGTAATTAGAACCATTTAATTACGATTTGCTTGTTAATTTGTCCAATTTAATTGTCCAATAATCTATATTTATATAATCATAATTATCGAAAGTTTCTGTTTGTCATTTGTCGCAATCAATTTAACAAGTGAAATCACTGAGAGAGAGAAAGAGAGGAATGGGAAATGAAGAGAAAGGAATCAAGGCGAAAATAGAGAGCAGAGGAAAGAAAGAAAGAAAGAAAGAAAGAAAAGAAAATGGCGGATAAATGTAGTAATAACCATCGCTTGTGATTCCCGTTTGCTTTCCACTTGACGAAGATATAAAACCAGTCAACAATTAGTGATAAATAATTGCTCCACTATCTTGACTGGACTGATTGACAATCGGTATCAATAAAATATATAATTTCACAATTGAATTTACAGGCTTTTAATTAGTTTTGATTGAATTAACTGTTGATTCCGGTTAATTTGATTTCTCACAAAATAGCTGTTGATCCTTCCCATTGTTTATATACTTTATGGCCATACCAATGATGATTGTGTGTATATTGTTGAACAATTAGTGTGTCATTGTGATTAATTTGTTAATGATGAAGTTGATTTGTGGTTGATGATATTTGTAAATTGTAATTTTTTTCTGCTTTGTTGTGACTTGAAGATAATAATAATAATAATATTAGTTTTAGTAGTGATGGAATTTGTAACTTTGTTGATTCCGTGTGTTAGTTAATTGTTGGTGATGGTTGTTGTTTCCATGGTCTTTTAATGATTAGGTTAATTCATTTATTATCAAAATGAGGGTAAATAAAAGTTATCCTGAGAATCAAAAATGTTCTCATTGATTTTGTTCACTAAATCGAGTTTGTCTTGTTTTTCTATCAATTTATTTTCTTGCCTCAGGACGGAAATTCGCGGCTTCCTTGACGAGAAAATGACCCATTGTCTCGAGTTCGATCTCTCTCTTTTGATTCTTTCTTGGTCACTTCACGAATAGATGAAAGTGTCTTTGTTAACCAAGAGTTTTTCGCTTGTTGTGCTTCAGCTTGGATGTTGGTCAGTTGGTGGATAAGCTCTTGATTTTGACATTCGGCCTCAACAAGGGCCAGTTTAGTTTGCGCTAATTCCAATTCGAGCTCTCTAAGTTTGGATGCCATTGAAGATTCGCTTTGTGCTGCCAACGATAGTGGATGTGAACAAGTTGCATCGACAGGCACTGAACCATTTCCCATGTTTTGCTCTTGACGAACTTTATCTTGTCCCTCTTTCTCTCCCGAGATGAATTTGTTTAGTATTGAGCTACAGTTGTCACATTCTTTGCATGAGATCGCCAACGCATCCAGTTTCTCATTTAGGTTGGTTTGTTCTTTCTCTAATTGTTCACTTAATTTGGAACAAATTTCCTTATATTGTCCGATTATCTTGGCATCTCTTTTAATGTCGACATCAGTTTTGGCCGTCGCTTTCCTGAAAACCTCTTTAACCTGAGTAATCTCATCTTCCAATCTTTTCTTTTCCTCTTCAGTATCAACGAGCAATTTTTTGGTTGCCAGGAGCTCCTTTGAAAGTGAATCAACTTTATCCTCTGATATGTCCAATTGTGCTCTTAATTGTATTTTACTGTTCACTAAATCATGAGCTAGATCATCATTCTCTTGTTCCAATCTCATATTACTTTCCAGTAATTTTTTATTCTCCTGTTTTAATCTCTCCACTGGATCAATGCGATTTGCTTTGGTTGCTTGATAGTCTTTCTCGTACTTGACTAACTTCTTAATTTTCACATTTACGGCTGTTTGTAAGAGAATTCGAGCATTTTCTTCCACCCGGTACCTTTTAGGCAAATATACACGGAAGTGTTTAAGTACACCCTCAAAATCAAGTGAGAGAAGCTCTTTACGGGATAACAAGAGAAGGGCAATGGCAACTTGAAAAATGGTCTCCATTCCTTGAAGTAGAAACAAATCAAGTATATAAAATACAACATGAAGAGGAAATTTAGCACTGAAAAGTGTTAGAAACCATTGGGAGGCGTACATATGAGCCTCAATACCAGAGGTAACAAAATGTTGATGTAGATCGGGTATTAAATCCTCCATGATCCTTTCCAATTGATAAAAACGTAACTGTAACTCCTCAAAACCAGAACGAAATAAATTACGAACACCATATTGATGCATAATCTTAACCAGAAGACAAAAGGCTTGTTCTTCTGGCATATGAAGGAGTAAAGCTGCCGTCATGAAGGTTAATCCTTGACAATAACCAATCTCTTGATCGTAAATGGAATATGCTTTACATAACCGATAAAGTGAATCTTGTCCCGATGAACCAGATTCCTTAAAGTATTCATTGGCGGGGAATGTTCTATTGGTATCTTTACGAATGAACAGTTCGAAAGGAGTTTCCTTTGTAATTAAAACTCGATATTCTTCCATCAAAACCGAATCATCCTGACAACAGGCCAATAACTGCCAGACTTCACCTCTCAAGGCTTGGGGTACACCTTTTTTGACCAGCTCTGCTAGTCCTTTCGGTCGGTGAGATAGATCTTTCCTCCATTTGGCCAATACTTCAGCCCATCCTTGTAACTCAATTTCACTACACTCTTTGGAAACCTCACCTGAACCACTCAACAAGGGTTCATCATTGTCCGAGTCTTCCTCCTCCGGGGCAACAACCAAACTTGGTGGATCAGCTTTGGACTTGTCAAAAGCAGAGGGAAAATTTAGGTTAACTAAATTATTCATTGTGATCCATTTAACTTAACCAACAACACACAATAGAAAATTTTGACACTTGTTCACCGTAATAATAATGAAATAGGAAACACACCTCTAATTACAATTAATAGTTAACAAAAATAAACACACTCACAATCATATGAAAATACTGAAGATAAGAAATGAAAAAAACTCAAACATCAACACAACTGAAACGAGGGAATGATTAATAATTTCATTTTGTTTTCCAATCTGAAGGAAAAATTTTTCCATCAAATTAAATTAGTTAAATTGTTTGAATTTATTTTGTTAATTTCAATTGGGTGATGAGGTTTAGAGTAAATAATTTGGGATGAAATTTAAAACAATTAACCAAGTGAAGGGTAAACAAAATTATCTTTTGTATGTTGACACATGAGAGCAATTTAATTAAGAGGTGGATTTAATTGCCAACCGATGCGAATCATGATCATGTGAAGATAGTTAATTGTTGTTTGGTTGATTGTGTGAATAGAAAGTGTCAAAATTGATTGTAGAAGATAAAATTTTTATTCTCAATGTAAGTTGATTAACTTGAAGATGATTAATTAACGTTTTTTGTTTTTGTTTCTCCTTCAAAATTGGAAAAAAATTTTCTTTTTGTCAATTGTGATTAATTTAATTGTTTTAAGAGTATTGGTTTAAAGGGAGTTTGTTGAAATTTTCTTAATTGTGAAAATTGGGCAAAGGGAATAGTTTTACTCTTGATGTTTTCATTTTTGTTAATTGTTGGTTAAGATCTTGGCAGTTTAAGTTGAGGTAAACACAAAGAAAATTAAACACTAGGAGGGAATGAAAATTGTGGTGCACAGCAATTAATAAATTAATCTATTTGGTAGTGGATTCAAATAGATTATTATAAAAGGCAGAATGAGATCTTGATAACTTGGATTTTGATTTACGTGATTAACACTCGATATATAATAAGGATATTGAATAGATTTACGATTGTCCAGGAAAAACAGTATAACCTCAAGAATAGAATCGCTGATAAGATCTTACCAAAACAAAAGATTTATAAATTGATGATGAGAGAGAGAGAGAGATTAGTTTACAAATGTATTGCAGTTATGAAATGTTCTCTGTTTCTTTGCTTCAATGTTGATTAATAATTGGAGATGATTAATTATGTTGGTTCATCAGTCTTTTGTAAAAGTCGCATTCTTTTCCTAATGTAGCCTTGCCAATGGAGAAGTTGTTGATCCTCGATAAAAGTGGTACAAGCACTTGAAGATAGTTCACGACGGAAATGTTCATATTGAAGAAGATCTAGAAAATAGAGACACATGGGATACCTGGAATAGAATAGAAAAAAATAATTTGAATTAAAGAAGAAAAAAAATCAGTTTAAATTGAGAGAGAGAGAGAATGAAACTCACTTCAAATACTTTGAATACTCTGGTCTTTTCCAATATTTTAAATAGTTTAGATAATTGATGAATGCTTTTTCCTTTAAATATCCACGTTGAGCAAGAACTATAAGATTAAGCAATCTAAATTAATCAATATTGATCTTGGAAGAAATTGATTACTTACAATTTAGGTAATTTGGATTAGCAAAACATTGGACAAATTCAAGTTCTAATTGGAATCTCATCTTTTGTTGATCTTCAGTTTCTGTGAAGTAAAAGTGTTAACATTAATGGAAAGAAATGACAGAAAAAGCTTCATAACAACTCACCATTTCTTGAAGCTAAAGCCATTCTTAAACTAGTTTTTAATCACAATTAACAAAAATAATTAGTAAAAAACTGCTTTCAGCAGTTGAAACAATTAATCCAATTTCAGTTGATCCAAAAATTGTCAGAAAATTTTTCATCTGTTTTAAGAAAAAGGGACCGATCATAAATTACAATTCGCTTGACCGGTTGAATTTCAATTCTGTCAGTTATTAATTAATTTCCCGCTAATTAATTTACAATTAGTAAAGAAGTTGAATGAAACTTGATTGGAAAAGTTGGAAGCAAAAATCACCATTCATTGATTGAAAAAGAGATTATTATAAAACAAAATTTACAATTGTCATGTTTTTTTTTTTGGTTCAAAGTTATTACAATTAATTTTGTCTCCTAATTGATACAGAATTTGATTTATCACCGTTGATTATTCATCGACAACATTTTCATTTACATTGACATCTTTTGTATCTTTTTTAGGACCATTTATTGGTTGACCTTCACCGTAGCAATGTTTCACTCGAGGATCTCGATAAGAGTTTTCATGTTGCACCGATTGGGATGAGGTTCGACATTTAGTAAGGCAAAATTCAAAATGATCGGTAATCGAAGCAAATAAAACACCAACACTTGGACTACCACCATTTGCAATTATCTTTTGAAGTAATGGTTTCTTATCTGGTTCCATACAACAGGATATACAGTATTCATATATTGCACAACAGCCATTTGAGTTACAGGTCTCACAAGAGTAACGTTTAGTTGTCGGATTTGTTGATGGACAACAACCACCGGAGGTTAAATCATGTCGAGAGCAAATATAACCTTTATCATCGGCAATTAGAACTTTACCTTGGATTGAATTGCGACAAGTTTCCGTTTGTTTAACATTCAAATTAGCTGATTCTGTCATTTGAGATTCATCTGTAAGAAAAATACGAAACAAAAAGTTATGGCTTTTCACTTTCTAATGAAAAATACAAAAAGAATCAATTGTTTTGTTACCTCGGTGAAAATCAACTTCATTGATAAAATTGATATTAGGAACTGATTGAGTTCCAGTTCCATCGTTAATTTCAACTTTGTACATGTTCCTGCGAAAGGAAATTAATCTTGATTTAACTCTATCAATATCAACAAGTGCATCATCTGAATCTTCCTCAAAATGATTCCTATTCATTGGTTTACGAAACAACATCACCATGGAATAAGTAAATGATGATAGAAGAATTAAAAAGAGAACACTTTTCCGTCTTAATAATCTAAGCATTGGTTTAAGCATAACCGAAGGTGTAGAAATTAAAAGAAAATAATAAGAATAGCAAGTCACCAAATGACCAGAAATTATGGACACCAGAATTTAGTATTTTTCATGCTTAAAAACCCAACATAATTTCACCAATTAACCAGAGAGAAATTAATTCACACCAAATCCATGAAAGGAGAAGATCCAAAATCAATAAACTAGAATAGAAAAAAAGACAGGAATTAATTTCATGACAATCAATCAGATCAAAATATAGAATGACTATTATTCCAGACATAATAAGAAAATTGACAATTAGACAGCAATTAAATTAGAAGTAAAAGTTTAAATACAAACCCCAATCTGTTGAAATCGGCCAACAATATGGAAATCGTTCTCGGGTGTGTGTATGTTTGTGTCTATTTAGTGTAAGTGATTAGGCAACAAGATGAGAATTTGTAAGTAATTAAAAGGAGAATCAACTGATTGTGGGTAAATCATGTTAACAAATTCACAATGCGAGTAATCAAGTGTCGATAAGAGAATAATTAAAAACAATTGAAAGTAAATTAATTGACATTTGATTAGTTTAGTAAAAGAGAAAACCTTTTTCTCGGTTAAGCCTATTCGTACAACAAATAGAGGTAAGGCGATACAAGTGTATGTCAGCTCACTTTTCTTGCTTTAAGCCAACATCTGGTTCGGCTCAAGACTAATCATCAGCTTAAATTTTTCGCGTTCAACTAAATTAACTTAATTTTCTAGGTAATCAAAAGGTCGAAAAAAATTTAATTAACATATTCCGAATCAACAAAACGAGCTCTTTCCAATGATGTATTGGTTATAATGATTAATCATTAAATTAGTGATAAAGTTCAGCTACTTGGAAATCGAGAGATTTACAAAAAAACGAGAAAAATTCATTTGTTTCTAGTTGTAACTTTTTTCGTTCTTGTCCGATTTTTTCATGATTGGTAACTTAGAATTATCGAAAATTGTACCAACTGTCCAATTCATTGATTTTCGGCATTTTCTACACCCAAAAACTTTACCAAGAGATGAATTTCTCTTTTTTCGCAGCACCATTAAGCCATCACAATCAATTTTGAAGCATTTTGTTGGTTCCTCGTTGGGAATTAAACCACAATCAATTATATATTGTAATCCAGGAATTTCTTTATTTGGACTTACGATAACCGAATCAAAATTAGTAGTTAAAAAATGGAGGCTCTGGCACAGAAAGAGAAGAAAGAGAGAAGAAAGAAAAGAGAATGAGAAGAGAAAATAAAGAAAGAAAAAGAAGAGAAAAGAAAGAAACAGCATTAGTTCTTCCCTTAACCGTAGAACTTTGTGTAATATAAAGGTGATAAGTCTATGGATAATAAGTTTTAAAAAACTTGAAAATGACTTACACAATTTATCATCATATGTTGAAACTGTAGACGGTGTTGTCTATACAATCTCATTAAGAGGAAAGTTTAAATACAATAATCATTTTTCTTTGGTGTACATAAGTTATGTTTTAAACGGAGTGGAGGTGATAACGATCCCTTTCTATGAATTTGATGAAATACGATTATCTATTATCGGTGGTAAATCCAACTACGTTGACATGAGTAAACTTATATCATATACAACTTTAAGCGATGGTGGACTTCAGGTTCGAGTGAAATCGAAGGATTACTACTGGCCATTTGAGTTGGTGAAAATAATTAAAGAAGGAAAATTCGTTGAAAACATTGGAAAGATAAATCGTAAATGTGGACAAGGATACGCGAATAGACATGCTCCTAAGGTAATTGGATGGAAAGATACTAGTGATATTGATCCAACTTTACCTGGTATTCAAACTCACATATTTAATTTGGGTAAATATTATTTGAAAAACGGTGACCATTATTCAATTGATATTGAAGCAAAAACAACAGAAACACTCGAGAGATGGTACCCAAGAATCTTGATTCGATATGATGTCAACGAAAAATCGGAGAAACAATTGGATTTAAAGATAATTGATTTATTTGCATTGAGGAATTACCTGATTCACCTAACTGAGATTATGAGGATCTATATCTTGGAAAAGTTAAACCTACAGTCGTTGCTGAAGGTGACCCTATAAATAAACTGGTGATAACCTTGAACGAAATTTCCATGGGACTGGATATAGGTTTCATTTCTTACATTGTAAAAGGAAAATTTCTTGACTATATGATTAAGCTATTGCGTGCCTTAAACTATGAGGCGGAGCCAATGTCATACATTCGATACTGGTTTTCAAAGTCATGATACTAGATGATGGGTGAGTCGACGTTAATAAAAACCCATGTAAGAGCTCATTTAGCTCAGTTTAACAATAAAGATCATTCTTTTCGTGAAAAAAATGTCCTATAAGTGTACACATTGTCGACGAAAGTTTAAAATTTTATCAAAGTTTAGAGAACATGTAGAAAGATGTGAGAAAGAAGAAATAGGTGATTTAGTACAACATCCAAAGTTTAATTTATCAAAAAGTGCTTTCAATAATACTTTCGGAGTATATTCTATGCGTGATGTAGATACAAATGATGTTGATACTCTATTCTCCAATGAAAGCTCATCTTTAACTAGTCTTCTTGAAGATTTAGTGAACAAATTGGAGTGTGTAAAAATTACAATCGGTGTTTGGTTTGTATTAGAAAGACCAAGTAAGGATGATGGTGATGAGAATAAAACTGTTTACATCAACTCATCTAAAAAAGTTTTGTGTAATGATGATTATATTCAACATTTTCTAGGTGAATGTTCACAGGAAATTGATGCTAAATTGGATGTGTTTACCCAAGAAGGAAGCGGTTGGAGTGTTCAATCAATTAAGGAAGTAGAAGTTCATTTAGTTAAATATGAACCACATCAAGGAGGTTGTAAATCATGTTCGTTACCCAAACATATTATCACTAAAAAAGCTATCGTTAATATGGACTGTACAACTGATTGTTTTATGTACTGTGTATTGGGTGCATTACATCCCGTGGATCAAAATCCTCAAAGGGTGTTTCAATATGATTTACAAAGTTGGAGATATGATTTCTCAAGTTGTCGTGGAGAAGTTAAAACCAATCAAATCAACAAATTTGAAAAGACAAATAATGTTTCAGTGAATGTTTACACATTGTCTCTAAACGAGGAAAACATTATACCATTTAGGATAACAAGTGAACTGAAAGATAAACATGTGAATCTATTTTTCCACGACAATCATTACTTTCTAATTTCAAACTTTGATCGTTTACTAAATAAGAAACGCAACCACGGTGAAAAACATTGTTTAAACTGTTTACATGGTTTTCGAACGCATGAAAAATTGATGGATCACCAACCCAATTGTTTCAAGAGATCACCACAACAAGTTGTTTTACCAAAGAAAGGGGAGATAATAGAGTTCAAGGAATACAAAAAAATGTTCAAATATCCTTTCATCATTTATGCTGATTTCGAAACATTAGCAACAAAGTTACCTCATGAAAACAAAAACTCGTTTGCTTATCAAGAACATAAACCATGTTCTTATGGTTTTGTGGTAATTGATTACAAAGGTGATGTTATTCTAAAAGATTTCTATCGTGGATTGGACGCTGATTCAATGTTCATGAAAACTCTTATAGCTGTTCAAATGGAATTATATCTTTTGTATGATAATCTTCAGAAACCATTATACTTGACTCTAGAAGAAGAAGCAAGATTTTACATTGAGGATAAATGTCACATTTGTGGTAGTGGTTTTGATCATGATAGTGATAAAGTGAGAGACCATGATCACATGACTGGTGAATTTCGAGGACCAGCACATAATGCATGTAATTTACAATGGAAATGGGATTATAAAATACCAGTTGTATTTCACAATTTGAAAAATTTCGATGGTCATTTATTAATTCAAGCAGTTGATAATGATTTATTCACAAAGATTGATTGTATACCTCAAACGATTGACAAGTACTTATCAATCCAAATGGATTCATTTATATTTATTGATTCACTTGCTTTTTTACCATCAAGTCTTGATAATTTAGCCAGGAACCTGGATAGAGGAGATAAAGTTAAAATACTTGAACAAATATTTACGGATGGAGATATTGAAATGTTATTGGTAAAGCGTGCTTACCTTATGAATATTTGGATTGTATATCTCGATTCGATGAACCATCTTACCACCAATAGATGCATTCTTCTCATCATTGACAAACAGTGGGATTAGTGTTGAAGTATATGACAGAATGAATCAGATCTTTCAAGAGTTTAATTGTTCAACACTTGGTGAATTTCACGATATATATTTGAAAGTGGATGTTTGTTTATTAGCTGCTATATTTGAAAACTTTAGAAAAATGAGTTTATGTGAATTTGGATTAGACCCAGCAAACTTTTTCTCAACACCTGGATTAACCTGGTTGGCAGCACTTAAGATGACTAAAGTCAAATTGGATCATATAACCGATATTGATATGTTGATGATGATTGAAAATGGTATTCGTGGTGGTGTATCATCAGCAATGACACGACATGCTAAAGCAAATAATTCAAGTTGTCCTGATTATAATTCAAATGAACCAAAAAGTTTTATTACTTATTTAGATGTTAATAATCTTTATGGGTGTAGACAAAAACTTCACATGGTAAATTTAAAATGGAAGAAAAAGAAGACTTTCCGTCAATATTGGAAAAAATAGAAAAAGGTGTTACAGAAAAAGGATATATATTAGAGGTTGATTTGGATTATCCAAAAGATTTACATGACTGGCATGATGATTATCCATTGGCAGTTGAGCAGATGACCATCGAAAAAGAACATTTGAGTCCTTACCAAACATCATTAATTGAAAAACTTGAATCGATGGGTAAAAAGAGAGTTGCTGGTAAAAAGTTGACACCAAATTTATTAAAAAAGGAAAAATATGTTATTCATTATCGTAATTTAGTATTACATGGACAAAGGATTGAAATTGGAAAAGATTCACAGGATAATTAGTTTTGACGAAGTTGCATGGTTACAACCATACATAGATTTGTGTACAAGTAAACGACAACAATCCAAGACAAACTTCGAAAAAGACTTTTGGAAACTAATGGTTAATTCACTTTATGGGAAAAGTATTGAAAACAAGAGAAAACATTCAAAGGTGATATTTTTAACGAACCAAAAACAGATAAAAAAAGTTGTAAACAAACCTTTGTTTGATCAGTTTTCAATTATAAATGAAAACTTTGTTATAGCAAAGCTTCGAAGACCAAAGGTTGTTCTAGACAAACCAATAGCTGTTGGATTTAGTGTCTTGGAATTTGCAAAACTGCACATGTATCAATTACATTATGATACATTCAAGTCATATTATGAAACAATATCAAACTGTTGTATACTGACACGGATAGTTTCATTTATCACATGAAAACAGAAGATTTACATGTAGATTTGGAAAAGTTCAAGGACATTATGGACTTTTGTGATTATCCAGAAGACCATTGGCTTTACAATACACAAAATAAAAAGAAACTTGGATACCTAAAGGATGAAATGAATGGATCACAAATACATGAAGTCATTGCATTAAAATCAAAATGTATGTGATTGTATCAGATGATGGAGAAAGAAA